CGGCTTCCGCCGGCGGGCACCGCCTCCGTTCTGCTTCCGCCAGCTTGCGCCGCGGAAGCGGTGACAGCGCCTTCGATCCTCGAAGGCGGAGCCCTTCTGGGAGCGCGCCGCACTGGCCGATTGGTGGCTGGATGGATGGACCGACCGCAGGGTCGGCACGTCTTTCTGCACAAAACCGGCATGGTAAGGACGGACGAACACACTCCTCCCCGACGGATGGAAGGATTCATCTGCTCGGCCTGACTGAACGGATGGCTGGACGGACTACCCCATCGGTGGGGTCATGCATCTACCTTGGATGATGCTCGGTGGGTCCACACACCATCAACCAACTTTCCAATGAATGGACGCGTGGCTGCATGGACAGACTGACCGTCAGAATCTGCATTCTTCACGCATGGAGTGCACTCCAGGATTCCATCAAGTGCCTCTTCCACACATCGCATTGCACAAGTGTCTCATCGGGTCCTCGAAACCCATTTTGAATTGATGGATCGATCGACGATCGGATGGTTGGATCTTTGATTGCACGCACCTTGGTTATGTGTTGGCCCGTTGTGCGTATCCATCGACCAGCCCGTCGGCGAATTAAGGACTGACGATTAAAAGCGCGGGCGGCTGAATGGCCACATCCAAGCGTCGAGCCATCACTGCACAGCTTTGTCGAGTGGCCAAACCCCAATGGACGGAAGAAGAGGAGGAGCAGGAGGAGCAGCAGCAGGTGGGCGAGGTGAGGGTTCAAGTGAGGGATCACGTGAGGGATCCTCTTACTGCACGTCCGACTGCTACCCCCCCTTTACCTCATTCAGGATCCTTCGGCAGTCAGGTTTCTGTCATGACGGAGCTTTCGCACGCCACCATGACGACGCCGAAGAGAATGATGGATGACTCGGTCAAGACGGGGCTCGAGCCCGGCACGAAAGAAAAATAAGATCATGGAATCAAAATTGGACGACCACACTGAGCCTATCGAGAAGTTGGAGGCTATTTCTAACTCACCCGGTACGGTAGCGTCCTCGTCTGTGGGTTTCGGGAGCCAGCAGGGGTCCAAGCGATTCATCCCGACGTTTTCAAAATCGAAAACTTCAGCACCTACGATGATCGGAAAACGCTCGGTATTTCTCGTTTGGGGTTCGAGGAGTTCCTCAGTGGGCTTAAACAGAAGATACCGCAGTCGTTTCAGGAGAAGATCGGGGAATCCCAATGCTTCGGGACCAAGTCGGACAAAATTAAAACTCAAGTGCAGCCCCCGTACGCGTTGGAGATCGCCCTGACGTTCACAAACCTTTTGCAGGACGAGACCTTCAAATACAAAGGGCGTTCTTTATGGACGGCCGTGGGAATATCTCCAGCTGAACAAACGAAATACGAGAGAATCGGTAAAGCGAAAGCCTACCTCACCATGAAAACGCAGACCAAGGACCCCACTACTCAATACTTACGCCCGATGCTCCTACAGTCCCCATTACGTCCTCACCTGCTTCAGCAAGGAAAACGGGACGGAGCTGGAGGTGGGAATTGTGGACGGGAAGGGGGACATTACTTGGAATGAGGTTCACGTGAAGACGGCGTTCGACAACATTGGGGAGCAGATGAACAAGGAGCTCTGCAACTTCTGGCGCGGTTCCCGTGGAATACAGCCGAAAAGGGCTGTTCTGCAGCTTCGAAGTTTTATAAGATTGGTCGTGGTTACATTGGGGATTAGATCGCTTGCTTGCAAGAGGTTCCTGCGTCGGGGTCGCTGGACGGTTTCACCTATAAATCACACACCATCATGTCCGCGGCGAAGGGTGACTGCGCCTGTATTATTCCTAGATCTTAGGTGCCGGCCAGAGGTTTTCGCTTGGACACTATTGGTGCGGAGTGGCAGTGCATGATCAAGTTTCCTATCAGCGGAAATTCTGGGTCATCCTAAAGAGGGTGGTCGGGCTCAGACGGTACTCCAAGAATCTATTTCTTTTGTGCACGGTAGCCTGGCTTGATTTAGGGCGGGGTTTTCGGACTCAACCGACTCAACCTGTTTTTGCATCATCGTCATCATCATCGTCATCATCGTCGTCATGATATTCATCATCGTCCGCCCTGGGCCGACGACGATTGTAATGATGGTGGTTATCAAATCGTAGTGCTGATGGTGGTGGCGATGGTGATGGTGATGATGGTGGTGCTCATCACATCCAGAATCACCATCATCACCATCACCATCATCACCATCACAACCGCCCTCACCATACCCTCATCACCATCCCCACCATCATCATCATCATCATCATCATCATCATCATCATCATCATCATCAGCATCATCATCATCATCACCATCCATACCATCAGCATGTTCCAGTATGTTAGAGCTCCGTGGGAGCTCTAACATGGCTTGTTAGAGCTCCCACGGAGCTCTAACATAGCATGTTCGAGTATGTTAGAGCTCCCTGGGAGCTCTAACATAGCATGTTCGAGTATGTTAGAGCTCCCTGGGAGCTCTAACATGCTATGTTAGAGCCCCCATGTTAGAGCTCCCTGAGAGCTCTAACCTACCGAGCTCCAACGGAGCTTTACCATATCATGTTAGAGCTCCGTGGGAGCTCCCTGGGAGCTCGAACATAGCATGTTTGAGTATGTTAGAGCTCCCTGGGAGCTCTAACATGGTATGTTAGAGCTCCGTGGGAGCTCTAACATGGTATATCAGAGCTCCGTGGGAGCTCTAACATGGCTTGTTAGAGCTCCAACGGATTTCTAACATAGCATGTTCGAGTATGTTAGAGCTCCCTGGGAGCTCTAACATGCTATATTAGAGCTCCCATGTTAGAGCACCCTGGGAGCTCTAAAATACCGAGCTCCAACGGAGCTTTAACACAGCATGTTAGAGCTCAGTGGGAGCTCCCTGGGAGCTCTAACATGGTATGTTAGAGCTCCGTGGGAGCTCTAACATGGCTTGTTAGAGCTCCAACGGAGCTCTAACATAGCATGTTCGAGTATGTTAGAGCCCCCTGGGAGCTCTAACATGGTATGTTAGAGCTCCGTGGGAGCTCGAACATGGCTTGTTAGAGCTCCAGCGGAGCTCTAACATAGCATGTTCGAGTATGTTAGAGCTCCTTGCGCAATCGATTGCGACACGGTTAAAGCACCCCCCCCTGGCGAGAGGGGGGGGGGGCCTTAACCGTTTCACAATCGATTGCGCAACGGTTAAGACCCCTCCCCCTGGCGAGAGGGGGGGCTTAACCGTTGCGCAATCGATTGTGAAACGGTTAAGTACCCCCCCCTCTCGCCAGGGGGGTGCCTTAACCGTTGCGCAATCGATTGTGACACGGTTAAAGCCCCCCCCCCTCCCTGGGCGAGAGGGGGGGGCCTTAACCGTTTTGCGCAAAAATCGATTGTTGAAAAGGGTTTAAGGACCCCCCCCCTCTCGCCAAGGTGGGGGGCTTACCCGTTTGCGCAATCGATTGTGACGCGGTTAAGCCCCCCCCCCCCTGGCGAGAGGGGGAAGGGGTCTT